TTTTATAAAAAGAATTTTGTTTAAACTACCATTTGAAAATTAGTATATTCTTCAATTATAATGTTTATAAGTACAAGTTAGAAGAATCTAAATTTTTGTTGAAGAAACAAATTGGGGCCAAATTATTTGGAAATTCAGAGTATTTCAGACTTAAGAAAGGCAACATGGTACATATGTGCCCAAACACATTAATATTCTCCAAGGAAACGTAAGGTTTTTCATATTGAATGAAATAAATAAAGTCTATAATTATACTCCTGTCAGCTGGGTTTTACCACCAAATTAGTTTGTGACAAATAACAACAATGAAAGTGTTTATTTATACATTTTCAGATTTCAGAATTATGGATAAGGGATTATGGAACTCTTCTTTTAAGTTTCTTCTTTATTGTATTTTTTCCATTACAGTTATCCCCTTGTATCCTCATCTACCTCCACCCCGCAGAGCAATCACCACACTCTTGTCCATGCCCATGAGTCCCTTCTCTTGTGTTCCATGCCTCCACCCTCACCCCCACCCAGAGCTGTCAGCCTGCTCTCCACCTGTGAGTCTGTCCCCATTTTCCTCATTAGTTCAGTTTGTTCATTAAATTCCACAAATGCGTGAAATCAGACAGTACCTGTCTGTCTCTGACTGGTTTATTTCACTCAGCATAATGTTCTCCAGGTCCATCCATGCTGTCACAAAGGGTACATTTTTTTTCTTTCTTAAGGCCATGTAGCTTTCCATTGTGTAATATAGCATAGCCTGTTTTACTCACTCATCTACTGACAAGCACTTGGGGCTGCTTCCAAATCTTGGCTATTGTAAATAACACTGCAATGAACAATTTGAAATCCTTTTGTTTTAGGGGAGACATACTTCAATTTCACCAACTCCTATGAAATATGTCTCTCCTAAAACAAAAGGATTTCAAGAGCCTCTTGTGCAGATTCAACATGTAAAAGTATCATCTTGGCATAAGATACCTTAAAATCTACTCTAATTATTATTAACTACCACTAACCAAAATCTTCTGGCTGTCCATCCAAAACCACATTTTTGAAGGCAAAGTAGAGTTCTTGAAACTGAATACACAGTGTGAGTGTAGCCCATAGGAGGCACTTTCAGAAACTCACAATCACATAAACATTGTTCACCTCATTCTTCAGGTTTACAAATGCATGCAAATCACATGCTAAAAAGGGTGAGTGAGCACATGCTTCCATTTATTACTATTTTTGTAAAGTCTGCATCCTGTGATCACACCAAGTCCCAGGATTAAGAATAGATCCTTAGCACCCCAAATAACAATTTATAATAAGATGATCTTGGGTCTTTCTGGTTTTCAGTGCACTTTGATGGTACAAGGCTTTTGATCATTTTGATGTTAGTCTCTCTCTCTCCAGCTGTTTTTCCATAGAAACCAAATTTTCTCCCTATAAGCAAATGAGAGGGTTTCATTGTTATCCTCCAGTTGTTAAGAGATAAAAGATCCTTAACTACATCTTATCAGGGCAAACTTAACATAGGTTGGAACCAACCAGGGAATACGTTGGGCAGGCATTTCCCTACAAGTACTCAATGTTAAAGGATTGTATATAACAAGTCACCTTAGGGGCATTGATTCTAAGTCTAGTTAATCCTTCAAGCACTTGTATTTCCAAAGCATACCTGAGAAACTACACACCAGAGAGGTTACAAACCTCACACAGCTTATTCGTAGCATAGCCAGAGCAGGAACTCCCAACACTAACAAATAATTCAAGTTTGAGGCACATTATTTTATCTAAGGTGGGCAACATAGGGAGTGCAGAAACATGGGTTAAAGGGAGGTTATCAGTGACTCTGTTTTAATTCAACAGTTATTGGGCTCACATTTTGACCTTAATGAAATTAAAATCTGGCTGTAGAAATAATGTAGGCAACTACATAAACATTGGCAGAAAATGCTGAAGAGGACTTCAGGAGACTCTAGGATTCAGATAAGAGAGAACAGAGAGTTTTCTGGTAGGACTGAAATGGCTTGATGCAACAACTTACCTGGGAGCGTCCTTAGCCACTACAAAGAATCCTTCCATTGTTCAGTGAGCCAAAAATATATTTAGAGCCTTTACAACCTTCACTAGGTCATTAGAGTAGACTATGAACTCCCTGGTCCCTTAAATTTTAATGAACCTGAGCCTTTAACAGTGGCACAGAGAGCAACTTTAGCTGTGAAACAATTAAAATGTTAATGGGGTTTCCACTGTAAATAGATTTATGAAAGAAGGAGAATGCTGACTGAGTTGTTTCCTGTCCCCAACTTGTTACTGTCAGTTGAATTCAAGCAAAATGTGCGTTACAAGAGATGTAAGGCGTGCTGCCTTGTGTGCCTCCTGTTTCGAAGTTCATTTCATAGACCATGCCTAAAGCCCAATACAAATACTATTCTGTTATCACATAATTAGCCAGTGTGTACTGCTGTCTCTTGAGCTTCTACTTGTTTTATTTTACGCATGGTATACCAGTATATTCAAAGGCAACCCATGTTAATTTCACTCATCCTGATACAGGGAGAGTTCAAAAGTTCGAAAGATAAGAAGTGGTTCTCAGCATGAGTAAACTGTGAAATACTATGGAGAATAAATTTTTGATGTCAAGACACATTCCCAGTTTATTCATGCTGAGAAGAGTTTCTTATCTTTTGAGCTTTGTAAGCTGAGATAGCCAAAATTTGTTTAAACTCCACAATACATAAATAAGCAATACAATTTGACTATTATTTTTATCATACTCCTTTGTCTATAAACCAAACTGTTCATATGAGAAGTACTGTGGATGAATATTAGTGCTTTGGGCTCCAATAAGAAAATAAACTATTCATAATTAGGTTGTCTTTCTCCCAGTTGGAATCCACTACCCTAGACCATGAGAAGAGTTTTCTTAATAATTCAGAGAAACTAGACCGCAACTCTCCTGGGATTGCCTCGTTCCTCAAGAGCAAACTCCACTAAAGCTCAGAATTACTGTCAATTCTTAATTAACCATGTCAGTGAGGAAGAGCATTAAACCTCACTGAAGACTGTCCACTGAAGAGTGACAGAAAACATTTCCCAGATCATGAGTTGACAAGCCACATAATTTATATCCAAGAGCCTGATTTTACAAAGAGTTGGCAGGAAATGCGTTTACTAAGTTTAACCCTCAACACTGTCACATGGTTATCAAATAGATGTCTTTAAAGAAACTGGAGATCTCCAAATAGCATGTCAAATAAAAATGTCAGTGAGACTCCCTAGACAGACAGACAGACATGCCATTAATCCTATCTGAGAGACCTGGAAGGATTCGTGAAATAGATGACTTTTGGGTTTGGGTCTTCAAGATTGGCCTGGAAGATAGGAAAGAGGCAGGAGGTTCACGGAGAGCAAAGGCCCCACAGCAAGAAAGCAGGGAGTGCATCTGGGCACTGTGGAGTATCCTGATGAGGGCAGAGCAGCCCGTGTATGGGGACAATGATGGCAACAACCTTTAACAGTGTACACCATCCCCAGGAGACACTCTGCTTCCAAAGCCTTAACATGCTCTGTTTCTTCTTGTAACAAATGCTCTTCTGCTCCCAATCCTATTTCACCTTCAAATGTCACCACTTCCATGAAGCTTTCCATGATTTCCCCTCATTAATTTGGTTTTTCCTTTTTTTTTATTTTAATCATTGTTCAAGTACAGTTCTCTGTCCTTTACTCCCATCCCAGCCCACCCTTTCCTTTTTAAATATAGTAGTAGTTTGGTCTAAGGCCTTTGTGGTGCTTAACCATCCTACAACAAAAAGCACAGTATTTGATCAAAAGCTCCTAGGGAATAGAGACTTTTATCTTACCCATCTTTACAATCTCCACAGAACCAAGGGAATCAAGACATTTGTCTTGATTACTGTAAGATGATCTTAAATTGTGCCCCATCTGTAATTAATCCTGGTGTGGACCACAGCAGGCAGTCCTTCCTCCTATCACTTCTGAGGATGGGAATACTGGCACTGAAAATGATGGCAGAGACCTAGGACATGATTAGTCATGACAGAGTGCGGATCACTGACACATGCAGCCACTCTGTTGGAGTTCCCCTTCCGGTCGACATGACCAACTATGAGGGCTGCTAGAGTTGAGTTCTCAACTTAGAGCAAGGTTCTCCCATCGGGTTTCTCTAGGTAACTCAAAGTCAATTATTTTTTTCAGTAGCGACACTGTTCACTTTCCATATTCCTCTTTCACTGAATGTTCCAGAAGCTTTCCACAGTGTTTGCTACTCCGTCTCTCCTTCTTAGTTTCCTAATCTCCTCCTTAGGCCCTTTGTCATCTGTCCTCCTTTCATTTATTTATGTTTCCCAGGTTTCCTTCTTAAATAATCCTTTCTCCTTACTTTTTATATGTACTTGTCCCCTGCCTCTTCAACATCCAAATATAGCTCCAGTCCAGACCACTCTCCTGGCCTCAGGCCCTGATGTGGAGCTTCCCCAGAGTGACACCATCCAATCTCGCAGATACATAAGTGCTGAACTCACACTCTTCTCCCCCAAAGCTCCTCCTTCCTCCTTGTTTCTGATGTTCTCCATTATCCAGGGGTCGCCCTTAAGTCTTCTTTCTCTCTCACTTGCTTACTTCCACACATTTATCAACTCCTCTTGATGTTAAGACTTCAGATCTGCTCCTTCCTTTCACTACCACCACTGTTCCTTTACTTATTAGACTCACACCACTTCTTCCTCTCCTACTGAGAGAAGCTCCTAAGTGGACTCCCTACTCTGGCTTCTTCCCTCTTCCCCATCCTTTATTCAAAACACAAATCTGATTAAGTCACTTCCCTGTTTTCAGTCAGTTGCTTCTTGGCTCCTCATTGGTCCACTGCAAAATCCAAAGTTCTCAACTCGACATGCAGGACCTTTCCTAAGATAGTCCCTCTCAGCTGCCTTAAGCTCATCTTCCACTGTGGCCCCTTTCATATTCTTCCTTCCAAACATACTATTAAGAGAGTGACTTACGGTTTTCCTGAAGGGCAGATCTTGTCTCCTTCTTTTTGAACCTGCTCTTCCCACCAACTGGAAACACAAGCACCACCATCACCATCTTTGCCACCCATCTAACCTCTACTTAAAACTCAATTAAAAAGTAAAGTCTTGAAAACTTAGGCCAAGGCCCTGAATTCATTCTTCCCTCAAGCTAGGTTACTCGTCCCACCTCGGCCAACTTTTTTTGGTAGGCTCTGGTCTGTTCATTGCCCTTCCCCCAAGGTCTAGAATTTGCTAAAAGACACAGGATCACCTTATCTTCCATACACCCTCAAAGTCTAGCAAAGTAATTGTCATTGAATATTTGTTGAATAGAAGTAATACATGATTTGATTTTAGCTTTAGTGGAGAAAAAAACAATTACTTGGGATTTTAACATAGTCTCCTGGGTCGACTCACTAAATCTTTGTGTTCATCTCATTCCAGAGTCTTCCCACTTGTTAAAATATAATGGCAAAATTCAGAACTAGATTCAATAAAAAAAAAACAAAACTAGATTTAAGCTTTAACAAATCCCATATGGCTGAAATTGTGAAGGAAAATGTTAGGGGTTTGGGGAAACAATTCTTCAATGTCTCTTGCATTTCTACATATCTTGTGAAGAAGCTTTAATTACTTTTGTGCTGGAAGGATATTTGTATAGCAAACAGCCTTGGAATATATAGACAGTGTCTTCTGCCAGGTCCAAGGCAGAGTTGTTTCCTAAGCAGGATAATAAAGATGATGTCTCCCTCTAAGGGCAAAGGCTGGAAGAGTTTGATAGCAACACCCTACAAGGATTGGAGATTTTTTGAGACCTGGGTTCCTCAGCTATGACATAAATTCACTGTGTGCACAGCATCGACTGGGCTGCCCCTCACTGCTCCCAGAAACTTGGGCGGGGAGGAGGGAAAGGCCAGGGAAGCCAATGCAAACATGGAGCTCATACTACCTGCTGCGGCTTGTCCAATAAAGTCCTTTGTCTCGGATCCAGAGTCTCATGTCTTCTGTCAGCATCTATGAACTGTGGCAGGCTAATTCGCTGCCTTGCTGTTAGACTAAAATCTTAGACACAACACAGTTCTTGACAAGGAGAAGGAATCTAAAGGCAATATTTTAAAAAGTGCTCAATAAATGTTTACAGAATTAAACAAGTCCAGAAAGGTAAGATCTTGAATATAGTGTCGTGGTTAAAAGCACAGATGCTGGAGCCAAAGAGCCTGAGTTCATACTCCAGCTTTCACAATTATTAACAACATGCACTCTTCTGAACTTTGTACTCTTACAAGCAATAACTCCAGAAAACTTTAATGTCCCTGGATCTCAATGTCCTTATCATGAAATGTAGGCACTAATATTACCTTCTAATAGAGATATGTGAAGAAAAATTATTTAAAATATGTAAAGTACTTAAATTGTTCCTGGTATATAAGAAGTTCTACTTAAGAATAAAATTCTGGTGTTTAAAGGTTTTTTTCATGGATAATCAAAGTGTTTAAGAAAGAAAATTAGTAGATCTTTGCTTTAGAAACCAACTTTGATGAAAATTAAATCATATATGTAAAAATGAGGGAATATGCAAGAGAAAACCAACCAAGAGACAATTGTAAAAGCCCAGGAGTAAAAACAGCATGACTGGGCCTGAATGCGGCAACAAAAGAACTGATTCGGGAGGCATTTTGTCTGGTGTTTATAAGATTCAGCAACTGAAAGTAATATAAATATTAACTTCTAGTTATCCAGTTGTTATATACAACAGTCTTTTCATAATCATCTTACCTAAAACTCACAATTACAAAGTAAAGTGGGAGAAAAGAAATGACTACAATATTTCAAATAGGAAGAAAGGGAAAAAGTAAGCAAAGTACCTAAGAAGGAGAAAATATAGCGACAATGATAACAAGAAATGATCCATGCAGATTTTGAATCCAAAACCCACAGAGATGACAAATTTATAGTTGAAAATACAAGTCTACAACTGAAGAGACTGGGGTTTAGATGTACGGATCTGGGACTCATTAGAATAGAGCATACGATGGGAGCCAGTGAAAAGAAAGAGAGAAACCTGGTAAACTATAAAGACTGGGAAACAAAACAAAGACAGAAGACAGGTGAATGCAGGGGCCAATAGGGAAGGAAGAAGGAGAGATGACACTGAGTGTACAAAGAAAAAGTGCAAGTGAAGAAGTGGAAAAGTGGGAAATAGGAATGAGCACTTATATTACACACTACAGAAAAATGAGAATAGGGTGAGTTCTGGAAAGAAAGTCAGCTTCTGAGAAGAAATTTTAGCAAAGGAGGCCCAACCGCAAAGGATTAAATGATCAATGACAAGAAAGGAAGCAGCAGCCAAGACCTGTTCTTGAAGGAGAAAAGCAGCAAGGTCCAGCCAGACTGGAATACAAACACAGACATACTAAAACATGGAATGGAGGGAGATGCAGAAAAGGAGACACGGATACACTGAGAAGAGAAATAAAACGACAGAAAGGAAAGAGTAGGCGATAAGATAAAGAAAAGACTGACAGAGGAAACATGTTAAAGATGGGATCTGGAATAGACAAGGAAGGGATTACCTTGACAAAAGAGGGGGGAAAACATATTTCCATGAGATACAGAAGAAAAAAGTAAAGATATATAAAAAAAATATTGACACCAAGGACAGGGAGCCTGACAAAGTTCATATAATACCATGTCAATCTCATCAATAAAGTACAGATTAAAGTTGACTGCTAAAACTGCAAGGCAGAGGTGAGGATTAGTTCTATGTGGGGAAATAGGAGAAAGTCCACTGTTGCTGAAAATAAGTAAGACCCAGACTGAGAGAAAGACCAGGGAGGCTGGTAATTTGAGAGTCTAGGAAGAAGAGGTCAAGGGAAGAGAGATCACCACAGAGAACAGCGATCAGGAATGGCATCCCGGAGTTAGACAGGATGGATCCAAGGCCCTCCCCACCACTGCTAGGCTATGAAGCTTCAGGAAAGTTACTTAACCTCTCTCTGTCTCAGTGTTCTCTTCTGAAAACTCAAGAAGATAGTATTTTCTGCTTCGTATGATTGCTGTTAAATTAAAGATATTGATGAACACAAGCTGCTGTACATAATGCCTTGCCCACAGAAAACACGCATGGCCTTCTCTAGTTCACTTTATGCTCAGTTAATGCAGCTGAGCTCACAGGAAAGAAAAATATGTTTTAGCTAATTTAAACTCATGAGGAAATGACAGACCACAGGCCATATGTAAATTATGTGTACATTTAAAAGTGAACTGATGTTAGCCAGACATCCGTAACTGGCTTAATTTCAGGCTTTATCCTAAGAAAAGTGGAAAACAAAGCAAAACAAATTCCAACATGATGTGTGGTGCAAGAAACAACTTTCTCAATTCTCTTTCATGATTCTGGATTATTACAGCCTCTGGTTTTTTCTCTACTTCTCCATTTGTCAAGTCTTCAAAAATCTAAATTTCTGCCACTCTGACCACAAGTTTCTATATCAACTACAGAAAGCTGAGGTGAAACATGTTTCTCTATATGGGGTGTCAGGGTGTGGTGGATACAGTGGCTCTCCTATCGGGCACATTTTGGATTTATAGGTCAAACTGTCTGTTCCAGATACCAGCCTTAGGGAATGCATGTCAGATGCCCTAACCAGGTAACAGACTGCTCAGTCACAAAGTGGCCACATCTTTTAAATATCTTGCCCAAGTATTAGAGAAGTCCAAGCGTCTCAAGTCCCAGAAGCTTAAGCTACTGCATCTGCCTTTATTCATTTCTGTGGGATATCTGCAAACTTCCATGTTTACTGCTTTTATCCTGTTGTACTCACTAATTATGCAAGTGTGTGCAAGAGAGCATTACAAAGGATAAATTTTAATAGAGTGAGTTACAGCCAGTCATTTTCCTTTCATATCTCAAAGATCTGGAGGAGAGTTTATTTCCTTCTTTTTAATCCTTTAAAAAACATTTGCAGAATACCATTAACATAAGCAAATTCTTCAATATCCCTTTATCAAAATGCCATTACCAGTTATAACACTCTGATTCATAGTGCACTTGCCAAGGTCATCTTTCCCCATTCCACAAGTCCCAGTTTAAGCCTAGCTCATCACTTTTATACTTAAACGCCTATGGGCCATGAGAGAGTGGGGTAAATTTTTCTATGAAGAGTCTCAGTGAGGAAGAGAGGAATCAGACCTTCCTTACCAAAAACTCTCTTCCCACTGCAGGACAATTGGCATCCCAACTCCCTCCCATATCCAGCACCAAATACCAAGAGAGTTCTCTTGCTTTTACGACACTCAAAAAAGCACCCATAGGTTTCTCAATAGATACGATGTGGAATACACCAGTCCTGCTCCCACTGAGAACCCCTGTCAGTGATTTTTTAAAAAATTTATTTGTACACAGAAGCTTGTCCTGGGTGTTCTAAAATGGACAATATTTTTTAAGAACTTCAGCACTGGAATTCAAACTACCTGGACCCAAACCTTGTGAATTCTTGGAGTGTTAACCTCACTGTGTTTCTTTCATCATCATAAATGGAGATGATAATACTGCCTACCCTGTAGGGCTTTTTACAAAATAATATGAAATAATACATGTAAAGGAGGTAGAAATTTGCCTGGCATCTAAGTACAAATTCAAACAGATTAAGTATTAACTATGATTTTCAATGTCAACTTACACAGTAGGTCCTTAGGCACTCTCTTTGTGGAATACTGATTTTATGAATCTGCCTTATTCTTAGTTCTACAAGGTTTCCTCAATGTAATAAGACAAGGTCATCAGACAGACCAATTATGTTAGAGTTGGAGTATCCATTAATAAAACTTCCTTGAAAATGAGCTTGCCTGTGGAGGAACGTATCATAACTACAATGCAATAAATTTGGACTCGCCTTTACTTAGTTCCACAGTCATTTTTTCTTTTCACTTGTCACCCCAGCATCACAATCTGCTCAAGTACAAGTCTGAATCCATAAAACTTTTACTTTTGTTAATGACCATAAGTGCCAGTCTGTAAGTTGATGCATTCCTGTTAGTGGTCTTCACCTCATTAGAAACCTGCTCTCACTGAAAATGGACCTCAAAG